CTTTTCTAAAAGTATATAGTTTCTATACAGAAATACAAAGAGATAATACAGTGAAGTATTTTTTGTTTCTTCTCAAAGCAGTGTGTCTGTTTTAAGTAATGTATGTATCTTGTTTAAAATGAATCTACTGCTTGAAGCCAACTACAATTTCACATGCCTTTAGTGTGAGTTGGTGAATAATGCAGGTCTTGCTCCAAACTCCGAAGTCACCAAAGGCCTGCAAAAAAATAATTCAATAATGTCATTAATTAGAAACCGAGTGAAAAATTGCAGTATACCAGGCTTTTGAAGTGGAACCAGAATTACTTGTCTTGTGGTTACTCTTCTGATACAGGTTTCATTTTCTTCCATTAAGCCTTGCTTTAGAAGTACATTAATGATAGCATAACTCTTTGGTTATATGATGACAGGTGAAGATATTGACTTAATGACAAGCATGAATTTGACTTTTAAATCTTCTAGGGTAAATTCAGACTGCAAAAGAAACGTTGGCATCACATTGGAGTGAGGAACCCCAAGGTGTATTGTGAGGTCTGAAGTGTTAGATCCCAAACATTTGCACATAGAGAAACCATAATCATGGTAAAAGAAATTGCAAATGCATGAAAAACACATGAAAATCCATAGCATAGATGTCTATAAAAGGTGATGTCTATATCTATAGACATCTGTGTAATAGATGTCTGTAACAGCAGCGAGGACAGAGACGGTAGCAGCAGGATCTTCCTGAAGCCCAGATGCCCGGAGAGCCAAAGGAAGGAGAGGTGCCAGCCCATTTGTCTGTGTAAATCAGCATCTCTTCCTGGGCTACTCTGGGTTGCTCCAAGTGAGGATCTGTCCTGGCAGAAGTTAAAGCTGGATTGAAGGTCCTGGGCTGGTGGCTTGGTTTTTGCACCGACAGTGAAGGGAGCAAATATTTTTTCTTTTTTTTTTCTCTTGATCAGAAGGGAAAAGCTTCACTGGCTGTGGGGCTAAGGGTCAGGTGGGGACCCATTACCTGTTGTTTCTGCCAGAGTGGAAAATACCAAGGCAAAAGTAATTGGGCTGGAGAAAGCATTAGATAGACCATGAGATGTAGAAAGTGAATTATTTGTTTTATCTTGATGCAGTGGTCGTTCACCTGATAACATTATTTTCTCTTAAAATATAATTAACATTTTATTCCACTAAGCATTGTTGTATGTTAGATGTTAGTGGGACACAGCACAGTATGTTCTAAATTCTGGGTTTGGTGCCTAGATGGCTAATTCAGTGCTAATGTCATTATCAAAGGTTGCAGAGGAAGAATGTCCTAAAAGGTCTATTCCTCATGAAATCATCTTCTGTAGTTATTCAGATGTGACTAATGATGCATCTTCTGCAGAAACTTAATTTATTTTGTGTTTCCCCTTATTCTTCTTAAGAAATGTTAGAAACAGAGCAAAAAAAAAAAGTAGAATCGGTTTTCTGTGCTTTTATTTGCTTCCTGATTAATTTTGGTCTCAGGAAAGCAAAAATGTACATTAGCAATTTCACACCTTGTTACATTTTCTGTTTGCTTTCATCACACGCATGGCTGTTTTCATGAATGGCAAACATAAACATAAATGATGTAATATCCCTCTTTGATTTTGAGTGTCTTGCTGAGAAATTAATGCATATGTGCAGATTACTTGTAAAGCAACGTCTGAACAATTCACGATGTACATCCACCCTTTGTAGTGTCAAGGCAGGGATCTAAACAAGACTTCTGCCTGCTTACATAAGAAACCTGGGAGATTACAGCTTTATATATCTTGACTCCTACGTGAATTTATTTTTTTTTAATATGTTGTACTCCAAATTAGAAGTGCTCCATGGCTTGGTTTCTTTCTGTTAAGGGGATGCTGCCCTTGCAGAAGCAGTGACCTTTGAAAAGCAAGTCTCAAGTAATCCTTTTATTTTCCTGAGATCATATAGCACAGTATCCAGTTGCAGGCTTTTAAGATGGAATGATTGCAGACTTTGTCTGCTTGCCTGGTTTGGATTACATTTTGTTTGACAAAGAAAACTCTAAAATACTTATACCTTCCTTCCTTCAGTTCAGAGCATCGTAATCTCCATGTGGTGAGGATGCAGACTAGTTGCTGTATCATCCCAGCACCGCTGGGATTTATTGAATTTACTTAATTGGCCTTTATCTCACGGCTACACTTTAACGCTTCTTTTGAAGGAGATTCAAAAAGGATACAGTTACTCCTTTTCTAATTTACTTTGAGAGTTGGGTTACTCATTTTCTTATCTTCCCTCCTTTTCCCGGTGGAGCAGAGCATTCTGCAGAGCCACGATTGCACGTGTTAGAGACTTGCATGGCGAGAGATTTAAGTCCATGAAGCTGTTAACTGCCCAAGCTTTTTACACACTGCTTTTTAAAGAGGATGCTCTGTTTTAGGGGAGTAGGGAGTTTGACAGGCATTTTTGAATGACTGGTGGTCCATTTTGTGTTGCACTGTGCTGATGCACTGAAGGAGAGCTAAACTCCCCTGAACCTCCCAGGGAGAGATTTTGCGGCAGAGTTCAGGAGCACTTGCATCATTCTCTTGTTTTTAAAGCACTTGTGAGCCTCAGTCCTATAAACACTTCAGGAAACCTCAGTAAAGTGGATGAAAAGCCCATTATTTGGTCAGGCCATCTTGACACTGAGAATTGCATGGGTTTTGCCTTCCTGAGAGGCATTCAATACCAGGGAGGGCCGAGGTCTCCTCTTGCTGCACTTTTCAAGTTTGTTTTTGCTAATAGGAGTTTAAAAAGGTTTAATGCTCAGCTCTGACTTTCTCCATCCTGCCAGACCTCTGCTGCTAGCTCTGCAAGCCTGGGATAGGCGTTGCAGGGATTTGGGGGCATTGGAGAGCAGTCCCGGGGGGGCACAGGTCTCTTTTTCTGAGTGCTTTGGTGTCTCCATCCCCTATATATAGCATCCGAGTGGCTCATGATAAGAAGTGATCAGTATCGTCTCTTTAACTAGGGTTGCAGGATCACCTGTTATTTGGCACCACCATCCCACAGTGAGATTTATTTTCCGATGCCTCTGAAAACCACGTAGCTCCCCTTTGCATTAGAAGGGAAGTTCATGCTATTTTAACGGAGTTCACTACTTGCCCTCTCTGGGCTAACACATCTGACCACACGCATGTGCACAGACCCTATATCTCCCATGCACAACTCGTCTTGCTGTGCACATGCGTGCACAACGTATATTTAGGCACCTGGATTAATTGATCAAAAGTCCTATACCCAATTAGCAGTCCGAGTCTAGGTTGTTATTTGCCCTCACATAGGCCATAAAATTGTGGAGGACATCAGCCAAGGGTAAGGTGACCTCTGTGGATGAGAAATTGTCGGTGATCATTGTGCGGTGCCTACATAAATAATGTGATCATAATTCAAGTCAGGGTGGTATTTACTTGCTCAGTGGAGCAGTTGTGAGCACGGTGGTGGATGCACAGCTAAAAAGCGAGCGTTGTCTGTGCAGCTTGATGCCAGCTCTCCAGCAGAAAACAGTATGGAAATGGCCAACACCTTTCAGGATCCTCTAAGAGCCAAGTGGGGGAGAGATTAGTAAACAGGAGTGAGAAAAACTGGGGCTGAAGAGAGACTGAGCTTGCTTTAAAAGAGAAGGTTTGCTGCTAGACTTCAGTCCAGGGATAATTGTCTGGAGCTCTTCCTTTACTCTTTTTGGCTGAAGATCAGACCTGGCAAAATTAATTTGTTTGTTGTCTTTATTTTACTTAATGAGGCCTTTTTTAGTATTATGATAATTAGCAGTCTTGCATACAGGAGAAGTGGTTTGGTTTTTTGGGTTTGGGTTTTGTTTTTTTTTTAGTTCCAAATACATTTTGGAAGATAAAAATGTGGTCATTTGCTACTGCTCTTTGCACTCAGTTCCCCATAAGGCCACAAAGATCTTTCCCGTGGGTCTCCCCAGCCCCCCTGTAACCTTTGCCAAGAGCTGGCCTGTCCGGAGGGTGAGTCAAAGGCCCTCGGCCAGGTGTGGGCTGGTTTTTCCCCTGGAGATGCTGCTCTTGGCCCTGTAAATTACAGATTATGAATTTCTCCCGCCCCCTTTTCTTTTCACTGAGTGTTGTTTCCTAATCTCTGGCATGAAATACCTGGGGTGTTAGGGTTGCATTGCCCATAGCAACTTTTGCTAGGGAGCTGGCAGGAGTGGTAACAACCACAACTTGAAAAGGTGTCTGCAGATATCAGACTGAAAACAAAGGATCAAGCCTGTTTGTGATGCACGTGTGTGCTGCAAAGGGCAGATAACCTTTCAGGGCTGCATCTTAAAATAATAAGCAGAGCTGGTATAGCTGCTTTCATGCTGCGGCTTCCCCAAGCATGCCACGAACTTCTGAACCGTGATTGCCATTAAAATCTTTACAGTTGCCATTTGCAAGGAATTAGTATCGCTATGCGAGCTGTAACACCCCAGCGATATTTGTGGAGAGCAATTGAATTATAAAGGTTGTAATGGCCTTTCTACCCTGTTCCTTGCTTCTGGAAGGAGGGGGCTGAAAGATTCCTAGGCTTTAACTACTGCACAAGCCAAAAAATAAATAGTTAAGGAGCCCATGTAAGCTAAGGTCTTCTGAAAAATACATACCTTCAAAGCAGCTGAAAGAAAGCAATATGTAATCAATATGTAATTCTGATAAGGTAGCCCCCTGACACATTTGAAAAGTCAAGGTGTGGGGTTGATGTGCTTGAAAAGTGCTTGAAAAGACAAGCTGCTGATGGTAGTTGATGTTGGTACTTTGCTCAGGTTGGGTGATGCTGGTCAGATCCTCAGCTGCTGAAAATCTCTGCGAATCCAGTTGTGAAAAATGGGCAAATACCACCGAGGTGAAAACAGACGCCGCTGATCTGCAGTAGCTACGGATTGCCTTGTGTTTGAGGATGCACTGATGAGTTTGACTTCAGCAGGGGCAGACCGTCTTACTAACCGTGGTTTTTGTCTGTTCTGTTTTTCTCCTGTCTTGCAGCACCTTCTCCAGTCAGTAGTGTGAAAAAAGGGAAGATAACTAAAAATAGCATCTCCCTTTCCTGGCAGGAGCCAGATCGACCCAACGGCATCATCCTGGAATACGAAATCAAATATTTTGAAAAGGTGTGACGGACTGATTGCTGAGCATCCCAAGTACCTTCTCTTTACTGTCCTATTCTTTTTAGTTATAATTATTTGAGTCATGGAAGGGAATGGAGTGATTTTATGCATAAATCAATGTCAGATTGATTTTGCAGTAAATGATTAGGAAGACTTGAAATGAGGGTGTTGTTTTCCATTAGTGTGCCACTTCTCTTGAACAAATACATTAAATCTGCGTGTCAGATTCCTCTCCAGCCTTATCACATTAAGGTAAAGCCTGCTCATTTGTTAAAAATAGGAAGGGTTGAGGATCGAGCATCTATCTCCTCCCGGAAGCATCAGGCTATCCCTTGCCTTTGGTATTTCAGTTTCTCACTTGATTTTGCATCCACGGTGTGAGAGGAGAAGCGTTTTACAGAGAGTTTGCATCTACTCTGACATGAAGAAGGGCATCCTGGCTTAAAAGCTTGCCTGGGTTTTCCAGCTCTTGTTCTCAGTCTAATGGAAACCACTCTCTCTTCCTACAAAACTTACCTCTTCTAGTCTTCATTTAAATGGCAACTTCTTCTCTTCCTGTGAAATTAATGCAAAATGAAAACAGTAACAAATGCACTTTGTCTAAATAGCACCTTTTGAGCAATGCAGCCTTAGATCTTTGGAAGTCTTAGATTTCCAAAAATCAGGTTTGCAAGAGTTGACTGAATAGCAGTTTCTTGCCTTAGCTGGGATTGTAAGGTATTCTTTTTTTTTCTTCTGAAACAGCCAGGCTTTCTACATGAAAACAAGAGGAAAATAATGAAATTGAGTCACACTTCACTTTTTTGGGAGATTGAATTTCTATCTTAAGGAAGATCTTCCATTAGTTCTGTCTGTGACCCAGGTGAAACCACTCAACGTGGGCCAGGACTGAGTCCTTACTCCTCTCTCCTTTCTCTGACCATGGGAGGGACCAGTTCAAGCAGCCCATGCAAACAGGGGAAGAATTGATACATCTTCTGCATTGGGATAAAAATCAACATTATTTTTGCAGATGAAGGAGCTTGGGCAAGGGCACAAGAGGTGTGAGTGGCTTAAATAGGGCTGAGGTTTTCAAAAAGATTAAAGCACAAAGCAAGAATCAGGATTTGCTAGTACTGGAAATAATCCATTACTGATTCTTTTATTAACTTGTTTGAACGACCATTGTAACGCATTGAATCCTTACAGTGGATTGGCCTGGGAAGATTAGCCTCTAGAAACCTTGATAATGAGCACATAATTAAAGCAAAGAAATCCATATATTTGTTCATTTTACTCAGTTTGTTTTCAAACAAATTGGGAAGGGAGGCGGGATGCTTAAAACATTGTATTTGTGGTCCAGAACTGGTCTGAAATAGCTTCAGTAAATAGTTCTTCAAGTGCAAGTCCTTCATGGGGAGGTGGCTACAGCCAGTCTGAGTTTATGCTGTCTTGATCTGTTTCTTCCAGGCTGATAGCTAAGCTTAGTGTTTTCCATAGGAAAGCTCAAGTGTTTAAATGTTTGCAGAAGCCAACAGTGTATTGAAAACCTAATTGGGCTGACATACAAGCAAAGATGTGACCTAATAATTCACTTGCTGCTTTTTAACCAGTCATTGAGTTAGATTTGGGATGTCATCCTTAATCCTTCTTGTTTGTTGCTACTGTCATTTATATTCTCTTGGTTTTCAGCCCTTTGTAAGGGTAGAATCACAGCGTTCATTTCCAAGGGATGAGAATGACCTATATTAAATGTTTTGGAAAATTTAGTTTTGTCAGATCACATTCCTCTAAGAGAAATCACCCCTTAACAAGAAGAAGAAAAAAAAAAAAAAGCGCATATATATACGTATACACACATATGCACACACATATTTCTCCAAAATAGCCTTGTGTAGCTACAGGCTTCAATGAGAAAAATCTGTAATCCTACATTTGGAGATTCCCAGGGCCTTATCCAGGCATATTACTGTCTATGGAAAGTTGCCCATTAAATTAAAAAGAAAAATCAGTTCAGATCCTAAGAGCTATGCAGAAATCTTGGTAGGGAATTACTAAGAACTCCTGTTTACCTCATATTAATTTGGATCTGAGAGGATATGGTGAATAAAAAACAGTTTCCAAGTTTGTAGACCTTAATTTATGAGCTCTTGTCTAGATTATGTGTTACAGTAAATAATTCTAAGAGTAATTACGAAGCATTTGAACGAAATTTTAATCAAAGAACTGAAACTCTTTCGCATTAGAAACTGATGAAGATTTATTTCAGCAAATGTTTTTCAAGTTCATTGCTTCAGAAGAACAACGCAAAATTAGATATTTTCCTGGAGTTTTGGTTTATTATTCCTTTCCCAAGGTTTAATTCATGGTTCTAGAAATGCCAATGTAAACTTGCATGATGTATAATGTATTATTCTTTTAGGCTTAATTACATTACTGGGAAGTTGTTCTGGTATAAATTAAAATCCCTTTCTATGGGACTTTTTTCCTCTTCCCCGTCTCTTGGGATTGATCTTTGTGTACATCCTGAGCGATGGAAGGCTGCTTCTACTGCAGATGGTGGTTTGGTCCCCGTATTGTCATTTATGGGTGGAAAGTCCCTCTGCGCTGTTACATACCCCCTAGAGTCACTGATTATAAAAGAGAAAATCAGATCTCACATTTTGTACTGCAGAAAGGGCCTCTGGGTGGGGGGTGGGGTTGAGGAAGAGATCCTCAAAAATGCATGTTTCAGTCATCCTTTGTAATGTTGCTGTGGGGGGTCGTTACGAGTCTCTTCTCTGAGAGGCACTATTTGTGTGTTTGAACTTTGTGTTTTTTGGGGTGGGGTGGGAAAAGGACCAGGAGACAAGCTACACCATCATCAAATCCAAAGAGACGACGATTACGGCAGATGGCTTGAAACCAGGCTCGGCGTACGTCTTCCAGATCCGAGCCCGGACAGCTGCCGGCTACGGTGGCTTCAGCCGAAGATTTGAGTTTGAAACCAGCCCAGTGTGTAAGTCCTTTTAATTACTGTCAGCCCATGTCTCTGGAACAGTTACCAGAAACGAGTCGGGGGATCGACACCTTTGCAGAGAGCTCTTCCTTGTCCTGGCCTCATCCCTTGACTTTGGAAACATCAGGCACATCATGACCATGCACCTGGCAGGCTAACACATCTGTCCTTGCTTCCTTGACTCACGTGGTGAGGCAGGAGCTGAAGTCAGGAGGTCATCAGGCTCCAGAAATTCATAGCGTTCCCTGCTTAGAAAAATCCTGTATTTATGAGAGCTGATGCAAGAGACGACAAGGGCTCTCCTCTGAGGAGGGACAGAGGGGATGAGACCTGCTCATCCACACCTCTTAATGGCTGTCTGCAGAGGATGCTGAGCTCTCTTAAATATCTGCATCTGGGGAAAATCCCTGAAATGGTGCCTCTCTGCAAGGGGAAGAATTGAACCAGTGCTAGTGTATTTTGGTGTAAGTTCTGTCAAGTTGAAAGATGGTTTCCGTTGGCTGCCAATGCCACAGCCTCGAGGAAAGGAATTTGACTTGTGATCAGAAATGGGAAAAATGTGCACTGCAGGCACAGGATTTTTGCTTGGCCTGTTACAAATTTGTGGGGTTTGAATTTTTTTATTTTATTTTTAATGAATTTGATGATCCAGGTCTGGATTCTGGAGCAGATTTTGTGATGGGTGAACTCCCAAGGCATGCAGAGGCTCAGCTGCTCTTTCCCTTGTGTTCAGGCACAGCTGTGGGGAAATTCTTTTAGTCCTGATTACCAAATTTTTGCAGAGGTGTCAAAGATAATTTTCTCCCTCAGAAAATATGTCCTATCTATTTCAGTTTGTACAACTGTCATTTATTATTTTTTATACTGTTGCATGGAAGAGAAAATTTATGGTGGAAATACCTTGTTCATTCCTGTGGGAAAGAGCCTATTTTCTCTCTTTTCCTTGGAAATTTAAATTAGCGAATACTGTGATTAGTGTTACTCCAGTTCATTTAAAATTCATCATCTTTGAGAAGAAGATGCCAAGTTGTCTTTTCAATGCATGCTACCTTTGAAGCCGTAATAGATTTTAAAGGAATCATTATACGTGTGCAGATGTAGCTATGGAGCCAGTGATTGAACTAATACAGTGCAAATTGCATCATAATGCAAACATTAATGCAATAAGAATGGTCTATTAAATGTATTTCTTATTGTATTAACCATTAATCGTGCCCTATAAGTAGCAACAAAATCATGTTATGCCAAAAGTTATTCTGTATTATACTAAGGAAATTTTACTTGCAGTTGGGAAGTTTCTAGTTTAGAGTCATTTAAGTAACAGTGTTCCAGACTATTAATAAGTAATACATGAAATATATGCACATTTGATCCGGTGCCATCGGTATGTACAATCCTGTCCAAAAATAACGGCACTTCCATAAAGCCCATCGTGTAAGTATCTGTGTTAATCAGGGTTTTTTGAGGACATCACGTGGTAATATCTTTAAACACTTTAAACCCCTGGAATCATTTGGTCATACCTGCACCCCAGTCTTTTTAGCGTTTTAAAGGCAGAGGACTAGGTACGTCTCTGATACTATGGAGCTGCTGGCATAGTCAGAGGAATACCTCCTGCATGGTCCCCAGTCTGGGAGCTGGGAACTTCTTCTGTTGGACTTCAGCTCTGGCTGAAGCAGGACTTAATCAGGTGTTTAAACACTTGGTAGAATTGAAATGCAACATAAGCCTCAGTATCTTGCAAAATGCAGCTTCATTTGACATTTAAAACCTTTTAAAAAGCAATTATTTTTTTTCCAAGGCCCTGTATAAAATCAATCTTGGTGCCAGGAGTGTGACCAGACTCCCACTGCTTTCCTGCACGTCCCAGAGAATCTGAAAGCAAGCACAGATCAAAATCTCACTGTTAGATCAGATCAGATCTAAACCCAGTTAGAACCCCTCAGTTCAGATCTGAACCCCTTGATAGAGCCAAAGCAAATTATTTTGATTCACGTACAAATTAAAACCTTTCAGTGACTGTTGTGAGAATCAAAAACAGCCTACAAAATCATTTGGACCGAACAACAGGTTTTGTTTCCAGTTCGCAAGGTTTCTGTAAAGTTATTTGTAATACACTTGGAGGAAATATGAAACAACACACTGCGAAATGCAATGGGGGGAAGCTGTGACTTATTTTTGACTTTTCTCTTTTTTCCAAATTTTGGGGTTTTTTGCCTGCATATGCAATTCTGTAAAGCCTTGTGATGCAGCCAGGGCTGAATTTTTCAGTGGAAGTTTTTTATTTGGGTGGAAGCTGTTGCTGAGTGTATCCACTCAGCTGCTGTCCTCCTTTCCAAATGCCATTGAGCTTGTCTAGCCCTGACAAAACTAACCTTGCCAAAAGCTGGTTTTTGGCTGCATTGGTGAGCTAATCCAGCTGGGCAGGAGTGGGAACATGTCACCAAGTCAAGGAGGGGTAATGCCAGTCTCCCCCTCCGGCTTTAAAGGGCACCAAGGCCCCAGTTTGGCTTATGATTTCAGGCTTTTTAGCTGCCATAGCTCACAGCTGGATTTATCTCATTTCCCCATCCCTCGAGCTGTGCAAAAAATCACTGGTCACAGCTTAATGTTCTCCTTTAAATGTTTTTCTTTTTAATTATTTTGTCAAGAAAGCAATAAAACATCATCTTAAGGAGCTTCCATAAATTCGTGAGGCTAATAAAATCTCTGGATGATGGCACGGGTTTGGAGCAGTTAACATTAAATATTTAATGTATCGTGGCCAGTCCTTCTGAAATCATTTACATTGCTGTAGCAGGTCTGTGCCGCTCGCCGTTGAGCACTGGAGAGCTCCCATACAAAGAGCTACTTGAAACCCGTTGCAGATCAATGTTAAATGCCATACCTTTTCGTCTTTCTTTTAACAATTAATATGGGACTGTATTCAGTTATTTTATAGCCTCCATAAAGTTAATCCTGTGCTAAGGACCCCTTTTTACTTCAATCATTTAGTTAAAGGCTTCTTCAGTGCACAATCAATTCCTG